AAATCTGTAGCTTCTTGCCTCTTCTGAATCTCAGGATACCTAATTGTGTGCCTACGGTTTGTATGTAATGCCACACAATTTGAGCTTTACTAGTGCCAATCTGTTGTAATGTTCCTACTTTGATGATAAACTTTATCTGTTAAAAAAAATAAAGTACATATTTTCATAATTAGGGATGCACCAAAATTTTGGCCGCCGAAACATATCGGCCAAAAATGGCCCTTTTGTCAAAATGCCATCTTTCGTCTGAAATTGCAGTGCATCCCTAGTTTCTCTCCTCCCTGCTGGGAGCTGCTCGCGCTGTGAGGTTAACCTCTCTTCCTGCAACACCCCACTCAGCCTCCTGTCACCAATCAGGAGAGTGGTGTTTGGGCGAAGACAGCTGTCAGCGGAGACCGGGCCAGTGGAGGAGTCAGCTGTCAAATGAGACTGAGCACTCCTCCCCGCACTGCCGGCTTAGCTGTGACACCGAGTCAGGATGGAGAACAGCACAAGGAGTCAGCGATCGCTGAATGTCTGAACATAGGAGTAACAATGTACCAGTTATGAATAGGAAGTGATCTACATCCCTTCCTGTTCATTCATGAATGTGTACATGGTAAACATACTATCTCCACAAGCTCAACCTGTGTAACCTCAGGACCCACATTTGTCCTTAGTCATTAGGTCATGACCCAAGCTGCACTGCAATGGAACGCATGGTATTGCGGTACCAATGTGGGCAATAAAACTGGGGGTGGGAGATGCGTTTGGGGTTCCATTTAAATGAATGGCAATGCAATGAACCTCTCACACCATAACTTGTGCCCAACGCACTGTACTAGTGTGAATGGGCCCTCAAAAACACTGACAGACACACACATTCTCACACACACGTACGCACTCCACAAAAAATATTTTTTTCTTAAAAATCCACCCAGTCTCCCTACCCTACGAGAACTGGAGTGGATCCTCAGCCTGGGATCCAGTGTGGGCTGATGTGCTGTGAGGGAGCTCCATCCATAGGTGTATCCAGTTGTACAGCTCCCTTGTGTGCCCTGTAGGGGTGCCAGGAGCCAGAATGTTACATCACTCCGGTCCAGGCACCTCTACAGGACACACAAGGGAGCTGTAAGCAATGCACTTATGGATGGAGGTCCCTTGTGACCATAGCCCTAGCCCACCCCACCTCAAGCTGACACTCGGTATCGGGCAGCATATTTTGAATGGCTGTTTGGCGTGAGAACTGACCGTGCTGCGCTAGGGGAGAGGCTGAGGAGCCTCTCACCTAGAAAAGGGGAAGGCATGCATGGACCCACTAAACATGAGGTTCGCGACCCGCTTTTGGGTCACGACCCACCAGTTGAGAATCAAGGGTATAGAGGATTCCTGTTCATTCATAACAGGGGCTGCAGAAAAGCAGATTGGAGGACTCTGTATCCTCAAACTCTTTTTCTATTGTAAAAGGGAAATGTCAGGAGTCTGTTTAGACCCCCAATATTTCCCAGGGCCCCGCTACAGTAAAGTTAAAAATATTTAATAAAAATAAATTAAAAACGTTTAAAATTAAATGCGGTCTGACTTCTTTTTTTTATTTTCAGCTTCAGTCTCGAAATTTCATTTCAGTGCACCTCTAATAAATATACTTAGGCACACTACAGGACATACAAGCTGGTTAAAAGGAACCACAGTGTGAAGCACGGGGGAAGGGCAACTACAGGTATTTGACCCAACTAGTAGGGTCAGATACATCCAGTGGCTGAAGAACAGTGAAGTTTTGGCATTTCAAGACATGGGCTGCAGGAAAGGCAAGTATTGATAGGCTTCTTTCCCAGGATTCGTCTTCTCTTATAAGTGACCCTGTGGTGACAGGGTCATTTTAGCCTTTTCACTGCCAGCAACGGCATACATCACTGGCGGCGGGCCCCTCTAAACAGACTCCTGGTGCCTATTAACTAGATCTCCCCGCTGAATGGAGCCTCAGTTCCTCAGCGGTCATTCCCTGGCTAGAAAAGCAGTCTGCACTTGAATAGCTTCTTTGAGGTGGAAAAGGTAACAATAGGAGGTCTAATAGACCGCCATCTAATATTTGGAAGTCAGCAGATCTCATTCACTAACCTAAGATAATTTTTTTGCCAAGTGAACAGACTATTTGCCTTTAGTATCAATACATTACAATATGATCAGATCAATCTGATAGTTTCTCAATTAAAAAAAAACAAAACACAACTGCCATTAGAAACAAAGTCGCAGACACTTTATTATGAGCAACAATTGATAAGTGCATCATTCAGACGTAAGTAAATATATACATATTATATAACCAGCTCCTTCTCTGCAAAGCCGATGTGCTATTCTGGGCAGTTCAGAAAGAAGTTAACCAGCTTCCTAAAAACATCATCATTAAAGCCCTTAATGTCCCCTTCTTCAATGGCTTCATAGAGAGGAGCGCTTTGTGTTCCCCAACAAATGTTCTTGCGGTTGGGATCCTTATCAGCATCCACTGCCAGAGCTAATGTATTGAGCTGGTAGCAAAAAAATGAAAAATATTTCCCATCGGAAATAACCGCTTGTGAGACAAATGGCCGTGTCACATCCGCCTGGCTCCAAAAACCTGCAAAGCAAATGGTACAGTTTAGCCTAAAGCATCAAAGAATTATTTTCATTTCAAGCAATTTATATTTGGAAGCAACATGCTTACCTCTGAATCTACAGATCATCAGCGAGTTATGGCGCCATTATAAATCCCTTTGTAGCTGCCTGCACTGAAAACACTACGGCCTTGTCCACACAGGCTCCAGCTTGTATAAGAGTGTGTATAGCAAGTAATGTACAAAAAGCTATAAGCAAGTTCCACACAGCTTTAAGGCTTTTAACCCTTTTACTGCCAATGGAGTATGCCATATGTCAGTGGCAGCGGGCCCCTCTAAACAGACTTCCAGCGGCTACTCTGTTTAGCCGTGTAAAGCCGACGGATATCTTCACACTGGAATCGATTCTGGCGGCTGAGCCATGTGGATTGTAACGTGAGCAAAAAAACCCTGGCAGCGAAAGGGTTAAAGAAACCTTCCTCCCCAGTTAGAGGATGGTCAATGCAAATAGGAGTGGTGGCTGTCACTTTAAGTAAGCCATTAGTAAGCTTTAGTCTTATGAGGAAATGGTGAAGCTTACTGAACACTGCTAAAGTGCCAGCTTGCGTTCGTAATAAGTTCTGTGTCTAACATCCCCAGACTGGTGCAGAAGATTGCTTTGACGCCTTAAGGGTAAAGGCCTTTTTTTCATTTTTTGCACTCATGTTATAATCCACATTTTGGATTCCCAAACATTATTTTCTGGAAGCCAAGACCCTATAGAATAAAATATTGGCAGTTTCAAATTTTTATGTTGTACGACATTAGCGCAACTTATTATCAAACCCAAAACTTTAGTGAAAAATGCACTTGAGGGTAAATTTAGTGCCCCAAAAAACAAAAACATTTTTTGTAAAATCTAAAAGACGAGGTTACGAGTAAATCGATACCCAACATGCCCAGGTTAAAAATTGCGTGCGTCCGTGAAACAAACAGAATTCAGTACCCCAAAAAGTCTATAGACGACGCTTTAAAAGCCCCCACAGGTCATCAGCTTAGAGATACGCGTAAATATTGGCCCTAGAACTATTGCTCTCACTCCAGCGCGCTCGGCGATACCAAACATGTGTAGCACAATCATCGTTTTCGTACGTAGGCGCACCAAACGCGTGTTTACGTGAAAACACGTATGCTCACGGGGAAAACTGTTTTTTATTTTTTGAACTATACTTTAATTGCTATTACATAGGGGGCTTACAAGCCCCCCATGTGATAGCATAGTGGGGGTGACACTAAAAGACCCCTAGTGTCACCTTTACACTCTAAATAAGCTATTGAAGTGCAGATCGCTCTTTGCTGGGCTCCTGAAGCTATGGGACCGGAAGTTATGTAATCTGCATCGCTCCCGGTCCCATAGAACGGGGAGGAAATCGGTGAACGGAGGTTCGTCCATCTCCTCCCCAGCTTCCTGCCGACACCCGAGATGCCGGTCATGGGCCCTTAGGAGGGACAGCGGAGCCCAGGAAAAAGAGCAAAAGGGGGGCGGGGCGGCCACTTTACAAGAACGTAGAAGCGATCTGGCAAGAGCTAAGTCGCCAGAATCACTTCTTCTGTAAAGCCGGCCCTACAAGTGTGAACAGAGTCTGTTTAAACCCTTGAGGATTCATGACGGGATTGTCCCATCATGGGTCGTGAAGGGGTTAAAGCTGACCTCCAGCCTTACCTTCAGTCTCTCACCAGTACAGGCTCCACCCTTATAATTAAATGGCTTACTCCGATTTCTCTCTACACTGTGAGCTTCTCACCGTGTACATTACAAACTGCGGCCTCATTTGCTGGCTGATGTCCATCTAGCTTGTTCCCCCTAAACCTGACAAGTCCCTGGCGTGTCCCTTTCATTCATTGGATGTCCGTTATTTCAACCATGGAGGTCCAGCATCACACGTGGGCATCACCACAGCTTTCTGTTTTCAGGGAGCCATGAATAGTACCTGCCAGTCCCTCCCAACAGTCAAAATTGGCTTTTACTGCATATAGAAGCACAGCGGTCTAGTGATGATGTCCTTGGGTCTAAATAAGCGATGTAAAAAAAACAGAAGGGTTTTGTTTTTCTTAAAAATGTCATTAGCATGTTAATTAGGGGGAAATGAAGAACCAGGGAAGGCAAAATATAAGCTGGAAAAGCCACCTGTACACACTGCTCTTAAACAAGCTGAACTGTGTGTTATCAAGGCGTATCTAAGAGTTTCTGTAGCATCAGATGGATTCAACACAAATGTGCAAAAAACATAATGCAATCTTCAGTCTCGTATACACAGGCTTTAGTCTATAAAAGCTCCTCATATATACCAAGCAACAGGATAGCTCTGGCCAGGTTCCTTGAAGGTCTTGTACACAGGGTTCAGCTTCTGTAAGAGCACTGCATACAGCAAGATGTCAGCAAGCCTAGCTATACCTACAACTTGTTAAAGCCTTCTGAACTGCTTGTAGCTTGTGAAAAGCACAGAAAAGTCGGGGTGCTCTAAAAGCTTACCTGTTTTATTTTTACATTTCCATAAATTATTTGGTATTCACTTGGAGGCAGAGTGCCCCTAAACTGCTAGAAAATGTGACTACCTAACTACTCCAGTACCCCACCACACCACATAACCTTTTATGTAGCAGCTAGAAAAAGGAGTGAAGGGGCCACTGCATTGACGCCTGAGTGACAGCTCGAAGTCTGCTGGGGCTGCAGCATAGCGGCCTAGTGGTTAGCGCTTCTGCCTTGTAGCACTGGGATCCCTGGTTCGAATCCCAGGTCACAATCTACAAGGAGTTTGCATGTTGTCCCAGTGCTTGCGTGGGTTTCCTCCCACACTCAGGAGACAATGAACCTACCAGCATGTCTTCGGTCTAAAAAATTGGCCTTGTATGCATGTATGTATGCATGTGAGATAGGGACCTTAGATTGTAAGCTCCTTGAGGGCAAGGACTGATGTAAATGTGCTCTATGTAAAGTGCTGTGTAAATTGTCGGCGCTACATAAATACCTGTAATAAATAAAACACAGCAGCATGCTAAGGGATGTCTACACAAGAGGCTTTTACAGGTAAATAACAGGCATACATCAATTGCACCTATAATCCTATGGGAAGTTTTGAAATGAAGGGCCTGGTGACGGGGTTACTTTAAGGTGAAACTAACTTTAAACTAAATTCATTGCAAGGATGATGGGGAAGGAAAGGAAATGAAATTTGCTAGAAATGATGTTAATCTAGACAGCAACGGAGAATTTCATGAGCTGAACATTGCAAATAAAATATCTGAATTCTTTGCAAACCTTAATAGTGGCAATTTCTAAAAAGAGTTTATACAGTTTATTAAATATACTCCAAGCAATACATAAAAGACATCACATCCCAGCACACGTGCCGCCAGACAAACAACTAGCTAGTAATTGGACATAATCCACAAGCATTCCGTATTAGGGATTCACCGATACAGGTATTTCGGTTACCAGTCCCGATATCTTTTTTCGGTACTCACTGATAACGAATACTGATACCGGAAGTCCCAATAAGGAAGCCAGGCAGCGTGTAATGATTCGCCACCCAGCTTCACAAATTAGCAGGGAAGCCCTCCCCATGCTTCTCGTCACTATGCGACAAGAAAGCATGGAGCCGGCTTTTTGCCCAATCAGAAAGCCGAGCACTGTGTAATGACGCCGCGCTCGGCTTCCTGAGTGGCCCGGGAAGCTGGCTCCATGCTCCCTCGTCACGAGGAAGCATGAAGCCGGCTTCCCAGCCAATCCGAAAGCTGGGCAGCGAGTCATTACACACTGCCCGGCTGCCTGATTGGCCGGGAAGCCGGCTCCAAGCTTCCTCATCACAAGTGACGGGAGAGCATGGAGCCGGCCTCCCGGCAAATCAGAAAGCCGGGCAGCGTGTAATGACGCGCTGCCCGGCTTCATGATACTGGAAGTATCAGGGCTAGGCATTGGAGCATTTGGGCGCGTACGTATTCGCCCAAATACTCTGCATCGGCACTGATACTAGAATCGGTGCATCCCTATTTTGTATATTATGTGGAAGAGTTCACTGAAGTAACCAAGACATTAACACTGCCGGGCCAAAAAAATAAAACAAAAAGTCACACACTCCAATATTTCTTTGGACTTTGGGATGCACCAATACCAGTAGAAGCACAGGTGCCGACACTGGGCATTTTCCACTAGTACTCGGAAAAATGCCCCGATACTCAGCGCCAATATCAGCACTTTAAATTTGTAAGCACAAGCGGCTTCTGTAAGGTACCACTCTTGCTGGGGACCTCACGGCACCCTTGTGGAGACCTCACAGGGGCTGTTTACAGTGTCGGATGGCCCAGCATCTACTCCTCCTCCTTCACATAATATATGTTCTCCAGGTAAGCTCACTGGAGTATTGCTTGTTATTCACAGGAGTGATCCATATCATTATACGGAAATCCTGGCATCCATGTCAAGAAATAAAACATCAAAAGGGGGTTTGGATAAAAATGTATCCCATGCACAGTAAATGGGCATGTCTATTGAAAACATTTCACCATACTCTGGCATAATATTCGCCAGCATATGGTGAAACGTGTCTTGTAGCCGTACGGTGCTCTTGATACATCCCCGTCCTCTTCTTGCCAATCACACAACGACTTGTATTCTTTGAACAAAAAATACAAGACGCTTTATGAATGGGCAATAGTGAGGAGGGGCCGGTGATGTGACTGGAGTGCTTTACAGCTGGGGTCGCATCTCTCTCTCTCCTCAAGTGCCAAAAGCTCAGCATTATGCGCAGGAAACGGCGTGCTCTAAGGTAAGATTTTACTGCCACACATAAACAGCTTTTTAAATGATAATTCACACACCTAGTACAGAATGTAGGTTATCATTTTCCCCCATAGCGTGGCTCAAATAACAGATTTTTTTGTTTTTCTTGGAGACAAAACACAATGGCCATTTCTGTACATAGACGAAGTACCAACACTCCACAAGATGCTCTCTTGGTGCTGCTCTGACAAAAGACAAACAGAGGCCAAGGGGGAAGGCGTTGGGGGGTTGTATTACCTTGATACATAGCTTGTGCTCCAGTCCAAGCAAAGAGACTTGCCATAGCATTGGCACGTAAAAACACTTCAATCTGGTCTTCAAGACTCAACTTTTTCATCCTATCCCTCTGGAAACGGTCTGGCACCAGGTGAAACTGTGTATGGCCAAATCTACAGGCACCGTCCACTTTACCACCTACAGAGTACACAGTGATTAGGCTGGGATGCTCCATCAAGACAAACGAGAACAAGAACGTTATGCAAAACACTGACAGCCTGCATATAACTTCAACACGGGTAGAATAAAGACACTCTGAAACTCTTATTCGGCTTGGAAAGCAATGATATCCTTGGCCACAAATGACTGTCTTCAAAGCTGATCATTTGTACAGAAGTAGTTTGATTAAACTTCATGGCACTGAAAGATGTCATCACATACCACTCATGTCCAGAGCGCCTCTAAACATAAGCTGCTAAACCTACAAACTAGGGATGCACAGATACCAAGTACCGTACTTAGTACAAGTACAGATACTTTTCCAGCTCCAAGACTAGAGAAAAACTCAAAAGTTAGGAGGCAGCTGTCATTTGTAAGGAGCACACGGAGCTCCTGGGATTTGTACATCTCTGTTTTAATGTATGATTTGTTAATAAATACACACTTTTTTTTTTGTACGGAATTCACCAATACCATTATTTCCAGACCAAGTACAAGTTCGGATACTTGTCCAACTACTCACAGATACAAGTACTGATACATTTTTGTTTAATGTCATGTGACAGTTCTTCTATAACAATACAGACTAAATGGTTTCAGGACAGTGATGGAGCACCAGAGGCCCAGTCTCAGCTGCAACCCCCGGTAGTTCGGGTGAAAATGCCAAGTATCAGCACTGGTATCTGCGCATCCCAACTGCAAACCATTTTCAGCCAGTGCACTACGCTGGCATAGCGGGGGACCCGTAGCCGCAATGCATAGTGGGGGATATTTGTTGTACATTTTCAATATACTGTTGAAAATTTGAATTTGAATAGATGTTTAGAAAAACCAAAATGATTTAGATGTATATTCATAACAGAGTGGGTCTTTTCCCACTATTGTCTGATGTCAAACCTCTTTTGTTTCTTTCTTTGAGATTTGGTATTGTGAGCAAAAGACCAACAAAGGTTTTGGGGCTTTTTTTTTTTAAATTCTTTATGCAGATTCTATGGTTGCCAGATTTAGTTTGCCCACCCCCACTCCTATGCTTTACTCTGGGCTTACCACGGTGACGGGTGGCTTCAATCAGCAGTGATGAGGCATGTGGGGCAGGGCTGCCAAAAATGGTGACAATGGAACCTGGTGGCTTGGAGATTACTCAAGAACAGTGGATCTCAACCTGTAAAACCTCAGGACCCACATTTTTTGTTGGGCATTAAGTCGCGACCCAAGTCACACTGCAATGGAAAGCACGACATTGCGGTACAGCGGGTTCCGGTGCGGGCGACTGAACTGTGGGCAGGAGGTGCGTTTGGGGTATCATTCAAATGAATGGCAAAACACCACACCAGAACGTGTAATAGGTGCGATTGCGTGGTACAGTGCGTTAAATGCACAGGACTGGTCGAATAACACACTATACATGCAAATAGATCCTCAAAAACACTGAAAGTCAATCAAATCCAGATCCACCCAGTCTCCCTATCTAACGAGAACTGAAGTGGATCCTCAGCCTGGGCTCCAGTGCTGTGATGGAGCTCCATCATTATTTGCATTGCTTGTACAGCTCCCTTGCGTGCCATGTAGAGGTGATGGGAGCCAGAATGTGACGACACTCCAGTACAGACACCTCTGCAGGGCACGCAAGGGAGCTTTAGGCAATACACTTATGGATGGAGCACCCTCGTGGCCATAGTTCCAGCCCATCCCACCAAATGCTGACACTTGGCACCGGGCAACACATTTTTAATGGCTGCTTGGCGTGAGAACTGACACTGCTGTGCTAGGTGAAGGCTGTGAAGCCTCACCTAGGAAAGTGGAAGGCACGCGGCGACCCACTGAACATGGGGTTTGCGATCCACCAGTTGAGAACCAAGGCTCTAGCAGCAAAGCAATGCAAAATAAGAAATGGTCCTCTAAATGATGACCAGATATCTGCTTAAATCACTTCCATTTTCCCAGCTGAGAAAAAGGCAAACCCCTTTTACATATATGGCACCAGGTGAAACAGTATGGTCCAAGCTACACTGACTATTTACTGGAACCCCTTTTTACTTAGCTGGCACCAGGTGAACCTGCACAAGGAGCCCACTTAAGGAATAACTCAAACTACTGGTGACTAATGTATGGCGATAACAAGAAGAACTTACCAATGAATACGTTGTTGTCATACTGTTTTTTAAAGAGAGGTAATCTACTTGGCTCATGAGGGATGAACGGAATCTCTTCAGGTACAACATGATCCAGAGGAACAAACTTAAAAAAAATGGACAAAAAAAAAAATGGTCAAATGGAGCAATGGGAAAAAAAATTGAAACAATTAGCTTGCTATGTAAACAGAATTATAGAAGTATAGCACCAAAGAATTTAAGACTGAGGAGAAACAGGGGTTTTCCAGTTGCTGGGTCATATACATGGACAATAATAAGTCTAACATAAGAAGGTAGCACTGTGTATATGATAAACCCAGAAACACACAGGTAGTCTTTATTCACAGGTAGTGCTTGTTAATGTTCCAATCTACTCTTCAACACTGATATGGGATCGCATTATGCTGCAAACTTTTGATCTCGTGAGAATATCTTCTTCACTACGGTTACCTCAAAATGCCCGTGTGTCAAAGCCCAAAAAGATTCAACTAAGCCCCCATTCACACCTGAGCATTTTCCTGAACAGCAACTACACTAAACATGGAGGCACCCATTATTTTCAATGTTGTGCGTTCACACACGTCCGTTGGGTCACCTGTAGTTTATAAAAAGCACATGAGCTTTTTATTGGCAGAATTGCGCGTTTTGGAACTTTAAAAGGGAGTGATGGAAAATCATGTATTTTTGCATTTAACAACCATCTCTCCCTCCTAGTAACAAGCTTTCCATTGGCCAATATAAAAAACCCAAGGCTGAAGAACAAGCGAAAAAAGCTTCAAAATCATCTGAAAACCCTCAAGTGTGAATGTGGCTAATACTACTAAATAACTACGACATCCCAACTCATTCAGGCCGCAGTAACACTTAGAATAAGAGAAACGTCACCAGCGCACCACATTCCTTAACCAGTTGACATCCGCGGTGTTAAACCCCCTTCCCATCCAGGCCATTAAAAACGAGCACATGGAGACGCCGATCGTCTATATGTGAAGCACCTGGTAACGGGTGTTTGCATTGGTCGGGTCTTTTCTGCCCGTGCGCGCCCGCTAAGGGGCAACCCACCAATGCTGCAGTGCCGTCCGTCCGCTTTTTTTACAACGGGCGGACGGCAAGTGGTTAAAGCAGGGATGGCCAAACTCCAGCCCTCCAGCTGTGGTGAAACTACAAATACCATGAAGCATCTCTCCGGGAGTCATGTCTGTGAGAATCCTGCAAAGCCTCATGGGATTCATAGTTCCACCACAGCTGGAGGGCCGCAGTTTGGCCATCCCTGCCTTAAAGGATCATCAATCGGAGATTTATGGAAGACTCATGTCAAATACACAAGCGCTTTCGGGGCCACGCAGGGGCCCTTCATCATAAATAATTAAAATTCTCGCTGTTTTGCAATTGTGTAATTGCAATGCCTGATGAAGGGACCCTGCATAGCCCCGAAAGCGCTTGTGTATTTGACATGAGTCTTCCATGAATCTATGATTTAAGGAATCTATGACCTTTGGTGACGTTTCTCTTATACAATTTGCTACCGGCGGCGCCATCTGCCGTCATTCCAAGCACCTTCCCCGAATACGGGGATTTCCGGGAAGGACTGCAACAATACTTCTTTACCTTACGCATTCACACATAGGCGCTGAGTACAGCCCTGCAATTTAAAGGCAATGCATGTTTGTACATGTTTTTTCAAGTGGTTTTTATGCACTATTTGTAGTACAAGAGCAGACCTGAGCATTTTTGGCACCACAGACTTTCAGGGCCGCTTCACACTATCTGCATTCGGGCTGTGCTGGCCGATTATTCCAGTGCAACTAAACACAAGGCAAACTGCAATATCATGAATGGGCTCGGTTCACACCTGTGCGTGTGTGCTCAAAAAAGTATAGAATGCATTACTTTTTTTTTTGTTATTGAGCACACCACAGTGACATGTGGTACAACTGCATGGCACCGTGGTGAGAACACAGAACTGAATTAAACGAGAACTATGAGGCGAGTGAAAATCACTCCTCAAAGTTTGAGCCGACATGTGACAATGAAACTGTCACAGGTCGGCTCAATAGATCGGGAAGCAAACGAACACATACCGTCGCTTGCTCACTTCTCGATCATCCCCCTGCAGAGAGCTGTGACTGTCAGTCAAGGCTCCCTGCAGTGACTCCCCCCCTCAACGCTCCGGTCCTCCAGCACTGACTGGAGGAACGGACGGGGGAGGGGGCGGGTACAGCAGGCTCTACAAACTAGATAGGCAGAGCTCACTGTCACTTACGCAGCTGGGTGGATCTCGACAGTAATGTCGAGATCCGTCCAGGCTGTGGCGGTCTCAGTATACCGCGAGCTGTTGCTCGCGATATACTAGCTTTGGGTCACGGGAGGAGGTTATTGTATGTCCTCCCGTGACCCTTAAGAGAACTATGGGGGAAAACACTTACCCCATAGTTCTCTTTTAAGGGTCACTTATGTCTCACAAATAAAATAATGCTATGTTGCTCGATCAAGCGCATCGGCACTGTTTGGGGACACGCGCACCAGGAGCCGATTGAGCGCAGCCTCTGGTTTGAATACCCTCAAATGGGAACGCTGTCTATGGGACCAAAATGCTTGATTCTGTCTGAAAAGAAGTGTGTGTACTTTTTGAGCTACATACATTTTGCTAAAAGTGACAGAACGCTCCAATGTGAACAGGAGTCATTTAAAACAATGGGATTCCTCCTGATGGGTGTTGTAATACTTAAGCTACAAAATGGCCCTTCACAGAATAGTTACATAAAAAAAAAAAAATGGCATTGAATTAGTACACACACACGTGTCAAATCTGACCCAGCACTACAAATTGTACTACTCTAATATGAAGGCTGCCATTGCTATAGATAATTTTTAAAGATTCCCCTTTGATAAGTCAGTACCAGAGGTATCCGGCAGCAGCTTCCCTGTCACATATGTACCAAGATGCCCAGCAATATCTGTGCCTGGCCTTACCTCTGGAAGTGGTTTAGGAACTCTGAGCTGGAAAAGTGGCGTGTCATCAATCTGAAAGCGGATGGGATCAATACAGCCTTTCCTGTGGCCCCGAGGAACCCTGATCTCACCACGCAACCAATAGAAATTCACCTGAGGTTTCTCATCTATAGATACACAAAATAGCAAAGGTCACACACAACATGCAATTAGAATTCCAGGTTATGAACTGCTTTAACAAATTTCTAAAGTTGTTCATTTCTAAATATGAACGCCCCCAACATTTGGAGGATTGAGCACTTTAATAATCACAAAGCACTGAGGATTGGATATGGACAACCATGAAATAGTTGACTATTGGGAGTAGTGATACAGTGTTTGAGGACATGTTTTGTTTATCATATTGTTTGTGTATTTAGTTATATAGGTTGTTGTACTCATGAACAGAGCGCATTTTAAGATAATCTACTTCAGTGGTTCTCAACCTGGGGTCGGGACCCCGTCGGGGGTCGAATGACGATTTGCCAGGGGTCGCCTAGCAGCTTCCGGCCACCCAGGAGAGAAGCACTATCTCTGCTCCTTTTTTTTCTGACATCGTGCCCGCCGTCAGTCAGAAAAAAAAAAAAAAAAAAAAAATTTATCGAGCAGACTAAACCTTTCCAGGAAAGTTTTTTTTTTGTTTCCTTCCAAAAGGGTTAAAAGAAAACCTGCCGCTCCGTGTGCACAGTGAGAGGGGATAGCAGTCTTCCCCTCTCACAGAAGTTCCAGCACAGTGCTGTGCTAGAACTCCTGTATTGGAGGTGACAGGTTCAATAAAGAGAACCTGTCACCTCCAAATGCTATCACACAGGGGCTTGTTACCGCTGTGTGATAGCAATGAAGTGGAAAAAAAATTGATAACAAAAATTATAAAAACCAAACAATAATAAGGTGAGAGTCCTCCCTCAGCCCTCTCCTAGCGCAGCAGTGTCAGTTCTCTTGCCACGCCTCCAGATGTCGCTGCAGCAGCCGCGTCATCCCTAAATTTTACCGTTGGGGGTCACCACAACTTGGCAAATGTTACCAAAGGGTCCCGGCCCTAGAAAGGTTGAGAACCACTGATCTACTTTGACATTGTTCAGGATAGCTTGCAGTCTGTACAAAGGAGCGCTCTAAAAAGGACATTTTGTGTGTGTTATTTTTAGGTATGTTGTGTGAATAAAATATAAAGGGGGTTCGACTAATTTGACCGCAAAAGTAGAAATACACTTTGGGGGTGATCTACAAACCGTTTGCAAAGTGCAGAGCACATTATGGCCACTAACTAGAGCAGAGGAGCATGGGAAATTCCTGTGTTCCCTGCCTCCACCTAGACCTAGAGGATGTAATGAGCTGCAAATTTAATTAGCATAGATGCTCACTAAGTGAACGTTTTATAAATCGCTCCATTTCAGTATGAAAGTGCCATGTTTTCCGACAGAGTTCTGCTACATCAGACTGCTGCACAGACTTGAGCTAGAATCATCATACAACATTGCATGGATGTCAGTGCTGCTGTACAGCTCCTCCAGACCTTGGCTGTATTAGCTGATCCAGTGTACAGAGAAACAATCCACATGACAAGGAACTCCAATGTTTCCTGCTACATCCATCTCCTTTCCAGCTATATGACTAGTTCAGAAAGCTTTACAACTTCCACACAGGAGCTCCAGCATGCACGAAACGTTTCATCTACTGTCTTTCTCAGAGGCATTGGGGTGGATGAAGTCAATGGATGAAACATGTCAGGCATGCTAGAGATGGCTTGATTTACTCCATTACTGTGGGTCAAGTTCCTATCAGGTGAACTGAATCTGCGCTGCTGAGGAGCCCGAGTGACCAAAGAGCTCAGAGGAGTAAGTACAACACGGGGCGATTACCTGGAGGACCGATGATCTGGTGGCTGTAACACGAGCGTTTATTGACCTCCAGAAATGTGGATCTGATGGGCATGTGTGTGTAATAGAAAGTGTGGCTGTTAGAGGTCTAGAATAGTTATCTGGCAACCAAGGACTGGTGGAGGAGCTGCAACCAAACACCTAATTATACACAAGTGTAGTACTGATATTTGCAGACTGAGGTTGTATTTTTAAAAACGCTCTGCAAAAGCACAATTAAGAACAGACATTGCCTGAAATTCATGAAGAGTTGCCACCATGCGACAAATGTCATTGATTCAGGGGTGTCGCCAGACGCCCGGGACATGTAGTTCCGGGGGCAGGGCAAGTGGTTTTGTCACGATTTTAGCCATGCTGCGGACAAGTAGCAGGGCTGTTTTTTTTTTCTTAAATGAGCGGGGGGTGTGGAGCGCCGAGAGCGGGTGGCGTAGACGGAGCGCTGAGAACTGGGGACGGAGCGGAGGGCGTGGAGCCGTGACGGGGCGGGGGGCGTGGAGCTGTGACAGGCTCTGTCACCTCCCTCAGCCTCTGTCCCCGGCGGCCGCTGCTCGTTCCTATCACAGGAGTTCTAGCACAGTGCTGTGCTAGAACTCCTGTGTTGGAGGTGACAGGGTCAATAAAGAGTACCTGTCACCTCCAAATGCTATCACACAGGGGATTATTATTCCCTGTGTGATAGCAATACAGTTAAGTTTTTTTTTAATAGTTAAAAAGAAAAAGTAAAAAATAATAATTAAAAATGTAACTAAATAAAAATGTAAAAAATAAAAAAAGTCAAAATAATAAAACAAATGAAAAATTTTTACAAAGTAAATACAAATTTTTATAATGAAAACCAGCCCCGCTGTCCCCATCTGCATGCGAATAAACGCGCAGTGTTTTCAACTGCAATCGTGTGCAACCGCTCGGGCAGGGTGATATTGTAGCAGGAAAACGCGCAATCTCCCTGGCATGACTGGGGTGCCATTAGAAAATAATGGCACTGCCAGCGCGATCGGCAGGGGTGTGCGATCCGTGACTGCCCGGTCATCGTGCACGACACCGAACGGATGGCTGGGTGGTCACGGAATCGCACACCATCCCCGATCGTGCTGTCAGTGCCATTATTTTCTAATGGGACCCCAGTCATCCGCAGGCAGATTGCGCGTTTTCCTGCTGCAATACCGCCCGGGCAATCCCACAGATCACGGTTGAAAACACTGCGCAGTGCTTGTCGTGAAAATAGGTACATCTACCTTTTTTTCAGCGATTGCCACCCAGATGTAACCCCATACATGCGGATGCAACCGCTGTATGCCACCGCACACAATCACACGTCCTGGGAATCCCCAAGTCTGCACCAACCCTAAAGGGTAAATTCACATTCCCAAGTAATTTGGGAAAAAGGAATTAACCGCACAAATTTCCCTCCCACTATACTTACCTTTCGGCGAACGGTCCTTCCCGTCCACCAGTACGGGTGTACCATCTGTACCTGTTCCATGTATTCTGAATTTCGCTCGCAAATTGCAAGCACTCTTTGGTCAACGTAGTCACCTGACGGCACTGACCAATGAGAAGTGCTTCTTAGCACTACTAAATACGGTTTTGGTTAAAATTATTTTTTTTTGTATCAGGACAAGTAGATTGTCATGAAGGACAAGTAGATTCGGCCCTCGCTTTAGTCCTTGGGCAAGTAGTTTTTTCTAAAATTTCCACACCCCTGTTGATTGCAACAAATTTGTGTCCGAAATACGTACAATATTTTGTCACAATGCCTGCATTCTTTTCCCGTTTGAAGGACGCTGTGTGGCTGAACATAACTGGTTGCTAGGATGCTTGCAGCCTCAGGCTTGCTAGCATCCTAGCAACTGACATTGTGCCGCCTGACTGGTTGCTAAGACACTGCCTGTCTCTGGGTCACCAGCAATGGGTGACACTCTGCAGCCGAGCCTGGTTGGTTGCTATGTTGTCAGCTGTCTCTTAGTAGCCAGCTACCTAGCAACCAATGACCTTGTGCAGCCAAGCCATATTGGTTACTAGGCTGCACAAGGTCATGATGTTGTGCATCGATCTAAGCCATTAATGATTGCTACGACACCACCTGCCTCAGGGTTGCCATTGTCCTAGCAACCAATGATGTGCAGCTGTACTCGATTGGTTGGTACAGATCCAGCTGCCTTGTACTCACCAACTAATGACACTGTTCAGCCAAGCCTTATTGGCTGCTAGAAAACCAGCTGCATCGGGGTCGCCAGCATCCCATCAACCATTGACATTCTGGTTGCTAGGAAGTGCTAGCGACGAGAGGCTGAGCCTGAGCAGTTGCTATGGCGTTTGCTGCCTCCTGCTCACCAGCGTCCTAGCAACCAATGACACTGTGTAGCCAAGTCTTATTGCTTGCTATTTACCACCTGGTATTTCTTTATGAATCTATCTCAGCCTCCGTGACAATGTAAAAACGTTGCTATCAAGAACTACAGGATTTAGCGGCACATGTTGGTAATAGCGTTAGAAGAGTCGCTCGGCTTTTCTACATTTGGTGCAGAACTTTCTTTGCATCAACACCAGAAAAGTGTCACAAATGCTTTAAAAAATGGCCCCCATTACCTCTATTATGGGGAACCATCACTTATGTGTTTCAGTATATCAGAGCGCATGTATTAAAGGATGCTCATGTTTTCTTTTATTACTCGGGTGACAGCAAGGCGACCCCCTTCCCCACCGCCGGGTGACAGCAAGGCGACCCCCTTCCGCACCGCCGGGTGACAGCAAGGCGACCCCCTTCCGCACCGCCGGGTGACAGCAAGGCGACCCCCTTCCCCACCGCCGGGTGACAGCAAGGCGACCCCCTTCCCCACCGCAGGGTGACAGCAAGGCGACCCCCTTCCCCACCGCAGGGTGACAGATAAGACCCCTCCAGGAACCCCCCCACTTACCCAGGGCAGCCTGGCGGAGGATGGGGTTGTGTTTAGCACACTGGGAGCTGAGGATGGACATGGCACTGGTGAGGAAGGGGGCAGCGGACACCTCCTGGCTCCTGTACAGGAAGCTCCGGCCTTTCTTGGCATAGTAGAAGTCCTGCAGTAAGGCCTCACACAGCAAGGAGCGGACACGGCCCAGCTCATGCTCCTCCAGGCCGCCCCCCCTCCTCTCCGGCAGCCCCGGCCTATAGGCGGTCTTGGTGAAGTGCTGGTACCAGCGGTCGGCGTTCTGGGCGAAGGTCTGCGGATACACCACGTACTTGAGGCGCTGCAGGCCGGTGATCAGCTTCAACTTGCTGCCGATGTCAGTCTGGGCGTGCACCCGGCTGTAGTGTCCCTCTATCCGCCGCTGCCGGGACGCCTTGCTCTTGGCCGTCATAGAGGCCACCACGGGCGGGTAGAGCGAGCCGGTCGGCGCGGCTGGCTCCGGGGGGAGGAACAGGGCGGCCGGTAAATCGTTATTGTGCTGCAGCCTCCCGAATATCCTGCGGCCCGCCATCTTGTTGATCCCAGCAACCAAGGACGCGACCTTCCGCGTAATGCACTGATTGGACGCTGACAAGTCAGCTGTCTGTAGAATGACCAATCAGGGCGTCCAAGTGTCCAGCAGGCTCTGTCGCACAATGTCCGTGTACTGCACGTGTATATGTCACGTGACAGGGGGCTGAGCTGATGTCATTAGGAGGGAAGGCCGAATGTTGAACACCGGTTCCGGTTCCGTCCATTTAGAATTGTCACGTGATGCTTCACTCTTAAAGCTGAACTGCAGGCAAAACATATAGTAGGGTTGTTCATTAAAGGCTTTGGGACACTTATCTGGGCAGCCTGTTTTTAGCTATGGAATATTGGGGCTTCATGCATAAAAGTTCGGGAGGATGCTGTTTACATGGCACTGGTGCCACTACATGGCGCTGACGAATATGGGAAATGCCTATATATGACAATGCCATCTAGGGGCGCTAGTGGCACTCAAACGCCCATCATGTCCTTTATATATTTCCTCCATATAGATGTAGTTTTCCAGCATGAAATAGCTTCCTGTAATAAAGACCTGTCACTCTGCTCTCTCTCCTTGTGGAGGGTGACTGGTCTTGTGTCCGCCCCCTTCTGTAATGAAGACCGGTCACTGCTGCTCTCTCTCCTTATGCAGGGTGACTGGTCTTGTCTCCACCCCCTTCTGTGGTTTTCTGCAGGCAGCCTCTAGTGGGTGGGACCTGCTGGGCCCCTCCCACAGCTCTGCTCTCTGCCCAGGCTGTGTACAGAACAGTGGTGATGTCACTGCAACATTTACAAGGTAACATCTGAGCATGCAAAGGCATTTGGTGCACACAAAGTGGATTTATATCCTTTTACAATTATCAAAGGATATATTTAACCCCTTCGTGACTGACGACGTACAGTGTACTCCCGGTGACTTTTGCCGCCGGGACTCTGTTTAAACTTGTAGAGCCGACTGTCGGCTTTACAAATAAGGTTTTTGTGGCCGGAGAACATCTTTAACCACTTGCTGACCGGGGGTGTTTGTACCCCTTTCCTGTCCAGGCCATTTTTCAGTATTCATCGCTGCGATAATTTGGCTGACATTTATTCCGTCATGCAACGCTGTACTGAAATGAATTTTATACCATTTTTTGGGGGACACATAGAGCTTTCTTTTGTTAGTATTTAATCACCACTGCGGGTTTTATTTTTTTTTATATAACAAAAAAAGTACCGAATATTTTTTTTTTTTTAATGGTTTTCCCTTTATTATTTTAGAAAACAATTATTTTTACCCAATTTTTGGGTAAAATATAAAACGCGGGGTCACGTCGGGTAAATAGACACCAAACATGTCAAGCCTTAAAATTGCGCGCGCCCGCAAAATCGCAAAAAACCACCATAGCCAAAATTTGCCATAGGCGACGCCTTAAAGGACAACTATGAGGTGAGTGCTTTTCACTCACCTCATAGTTCTAGCCGACCTGTGACAATGAGACTGTCATACCGGTGTTCGCTCACCTCTCGATCCTGTCACGGCTCTCTGCCGTGACAGGGGAGGGGCAGGATTCCCCCCTCCCCGCTCCGATCCGCCAGCGCTGACTGGCGGAACGGACGGGGGAGGGGGCAGGTACAGCTGGCTCTGCCTCTGGATAGGCAGAGCCAGCTGTCAGTCACGCAGCTGGGCGGATCCAGACATAATTGTCGGGATCCGCTTCAGCTGCGGCGTCTCAGTATACCGCGAGCAGGATGGGAGAACGCTAGTTTGTGTCCTCCCGTTACCCTAAGGAGAACTATGGGGAAAAGCCTTAACCCCATAATTCTCCTTTAAAAGATTTTACCGCTCATCAGTTTAGTGTTATCAGTGATTGATGGCCCTAGAATTATTGCTTTCATTGCTACGTTCGCGGCGATATGTAACACGTGCAGCATAATAGGAGCAATCCCCGTTTTTGCGTGTAGGCGCATGTAACGCATTTTGTGCACGTTTTCACGCCGGGTGGTTTTTGTTATGGAAAACCGCGCAGCAAACGCCATGTGTGAATGGAGCCTTGCTCTCTGTGGGGAAGCAGTGGTCTCTCTGCAGAGGTCTAACAAGCCCCCTCTGCTGAGTCAGGCTTATAGCTCTGCAGTCATAAAAGCTCATGCTCCCCCCTGATCAGAGAACTCTGACTCAGAAGATTGTGTGTCAGACCTCTACAGAGAGACCACTGCTTCCCCACAGGTAGATAGGCTACCACTCTGCAACTGCTGGCAGGGGACTGGCTTTCCTATTTAGGACAGGGCTGTTTTAGAAACAAAACAAACTGTAAGACTTTGCAGGCCTTTTGTTTTGAGGTACATGGACTGTATATAGCCAGGGCCGGTGCTAGACATTTTGCGCACACGCATGGCCCCATGGCGGACCTGAGAGAAAGTTGTCTCTTAGTTCCGCTCCTCTGCTCAGTGGGCATGGGTGCAATAGCCAGCCTGCTATTGGCTTTTGCAATTTGAAATAGAGGGGGGCACTGTGGGTGGGTGAGTGGTCGAGTCGGCGCCCTAGGCGGCTGCCTAGTTTGCCTAATGGCAGCACCAGCCCTGTATATAGCTGATTTAAACTGAACGGGGAAGTTGGACTTTAAAGGAGAACTATGAGGTGAGTGCTTTTCACTCACCTCATAGTTCTAGCCGACCTGTGACAATGAGACTGTCATCCCCCCTCCCCGCTCATCTGTCATGAGAAAAGTCTGAGAGCTGCCACGTGTCCTAGGGAGAATGTTAGTACCCTGGCTGTCATTTCTGATACTTTGGTTTCAATGTTATCAGACTGATGCCCTAGAACAGTGCTTCTTAAAGTGTGGGTCGCGACCCCATATGGGGTCCCGCAAGTGAACAGGGGGGTCGCGATCCGAGTACCTGACCAGGACCGCCATTAGGGGGTATGGCCGGTACTTGTGTGAGCGGTCCAGGCGGCCGAGGAGCACCAAGCTAGATTGTTTTATTTCAGTTTAACGTATAATTTGCAGTGTAGTGTAGTTTTTAAGGTCGCGCCCCCCCCCCCAAGAAAGTTTAAGAAGGCCTGCCCTAGAACAAGTACAGAGATAACGACTTCTGACACATGAGCAGCGTGCTTGTTCCAGATCTGTCATTCTGAGCCTGATGAAGGGGACCCCCTGCGGCCCCGAAAGCGCTTGTGTATTGGATGGCAATGTGCCATTAAAATGGATCATTGACTAACAAAAACTGGTGTGCTGGTGACATTATTCCTTTATTCTGTTCCAGATCTGTGACTCAAAGTATTGAAGCGAGAGACAGCCAGACAACTAGTATTTTCAAAAGAGAGCCAGCAATTGTGACCCCTAATGTCATAGAAACAGCATTCGGTCACGTCTCAGCAGATAATTAAAAATAATATACTCCATGTGCATTCAAGCACATGTGGTAATAAACAGGCATAGGTGCGAGCAACCCATATAGTTTTCCTTTAGTCTCTGTCCACATGGGGTGTTCTGGGATTCCTGCGGCAAGAACCTACAGATTCCTGTGGCAGGAGTACCAGGTGTCCCCGTTTAGATGCAGCCGATGTTCATCCTGTCCAGTGGCGTAACCAGAGTTATGGGCGCCCGGGGCAGAACATTTTTTTGCCCCCCCCCATATTATATAAACACCCACTAGAACTGTACCCCCCCACCCCCACACATATATATCAGCTAAGGAACTACAAGTCCAAGCATGCCATCATTGTCCCTGTACTGATGATGTTGTTTCTGAACACAGAATAGATGCCTCCAGCGATAATCGATGATCTATTCCAAACTGAATGAGATACAACACTGGTGACTAGTCCTTTGGCCTGTGCTTGTCTTATTTGGGCACAGTTTCCACAGTTCAGGTTCTCTTTAAAAATCTGTTCTATGGGTGAGTCCTGCAATTAGATCTGAGATTGCATATAACAGTCTCCCAATACTTTTTTATTATTTAACTTTTATTTCTTTTTTATTCTTTGCATACGTTGTTTTCTTTTTCCCTCCACATTCTTCTGACAGTGGCCATTTTTGCTAAGGGCAGATTAAATCTCCCTTTACTTCCTGAAACTCTGGCACATGTGACTAGGACATGTGAGTATGCACATCATCCCGGGGAGGAAAATGCCTTTCCATGAGATCTCATCAGATTACACATGAGATTTCCCAGCAATGCTCTGCTGATGTAACCTTCCCAGGATGCAACACTTGGGCACAGATGACATCACTAATGCCCAAGAGCACCAGGAAGTGGAAAAACAATAATTGTAAGTAAAATAAAAATATGTTTGCACTAATGAATGTAAGATGATTTCATATCTAGATGCAGAGCTGCACACTGTGGTGATTTTTAGCCAAAGGGGGTAAAGGTCCGCTTTAATGATATTGGAAAGAGGGGTGTGTGACCAGGGGGTAACGATTAGGTGGTTACGGGTCAGTGGGTCAAGGTGAAGGGATTAAGGGTAAAGAGTAGGGATTCACCAATACCGGTTTTCGGTATCGAGTACGAGTCCCGATATCTTTTTTTTCCGGTACTCACCGATACCAAATACCGGTACTGGAAGTCCCATTCAGGAAGCCGTCTCTATGCTTCCTCGTAAACAGCTGACAAGGAAGCATGGAGCCGGCTTTCTAGCCAATCAGGAAGCTGGGCACGGTTTAATGACTCGTTGCCCAGGTTCCTAATTTGTCGAGAAGCTGGCCAATCAGGAAGCTGGGCAATGAGTCATTACACGGCGCCCAGCTTCCTGATTGACCAGAAAGCCGCCTCCATGCTTCCTCGTCACCTGGTGATGAGGAAGCATGGAGACGGCTTCCCACCACTAAGTGACGAGGGAGCATGGAGCCGGCTTCCTGGCCAATCAGGAAGCCGGGCAGCGTGTAATGACTCGCTGCCCCGCTTCCTGTTACCGGAAGCTCAGGCATCGGGCTAGTCATCGGAGCATTTGGGTGAGTACGAGTACTCGCCCAAATACTAGGAATCGATACAGATACTAGTATCGGTGCATCCCTAATAGAGAGGTTTATAATTAACTCCAGAGATATAACCCCCCACAAATGATTGAAGTTCTGCTATGATTACTACATTATTAAATTAA